CTATCTAAGCGAGGTTGGACTGATAGTCACTGGAGTTTTCCTGCAGAACTTGGTCATATCCACTCATACTGCTCTGACCGCCATAGCCACCTCCATAACCACCACTCAGCTGCTGGCTAGCAGGACCTCCGTAACTAGACTGGTTGGATAAGCCCATGCCTCCCATCATTTGGCTCCCATAAGCACCACCACTTGCCCCTGCTGTAGAATTCAAAAAGAGTTCTACGTAGCTGTGATCATAAGCCCCCCCACTTGTTCCTGCAGTAGAATTCAAGAAGAGCTCCACATATCTGTGTTGCATATTAGCTTTGTCTTTTGCCATAGCTGCCACGGCATCTTCATGAGTAGCAAATTCAACATCTGCCTCACCAGTAACTCGGCCATCAGGTCCAATTTCAATGTGTACTCTCATGGGGTTAAGAGGTGAGAAAAAATTGTAAATATCATTTTCAGTGGCTCTGTAAGGTAACCCCCTCATGTGTACACAGTGCCCTGTGGTGCTCTGGAAACTGGACCCACCATCTCCATATCTATGATCAGACATTCCTGAAAAACAGTAATTGAGATCTCTTCCAAATCTATCAGACCCAAAACCATACCCATCATTATAGCCACCATAGTCATCATACCCTCCATAACCTCCACCATAGGCACCCCGCCTCATCCTTTCAAACCCAGCTCCTCTGCCAATGCTATTATACCCTCTGCCGGCCCCCGGCCTATCATAGGGACCTGGCCGCTGCATAGCCATGAGCTTTCGAGGAGGATCATAGTGGGTTCGGACTTCAGCTCGGCTACTCTTGAAGATTTCAATGTACCTGTGCCCTATTCTTTCCTTGTGTTTCTTTAAGGCCTTTTCAGCTATCTCCTGCGAAGCAAACTGCACAAAGGCCTCCCCTGTGCTCCGCCCCTGAAAGTCCACCGGCAGTGTCATCCCATTTGGCACAATTTCCAACCCTGAAAAGAACTGAACAATTTCTTCCTTGCTACAGCCAAATGGGAGTCCTCTAAGCCGGACGAAGCCATCATTGGCAGTATCAGGGCTATTCGGACCTGTATGCTTCAACACCCAATCCATTTCAACACTGTTGGACTTGAATACTTCCACGTATCTGTGTCCCATGGTTTCTCTATCCTTCTTCAAAGCCAATTTCACTTCATCTTCGGATTCAAGTTCGACAAATGCTTCACCACTTGGTCTGCCTTCTCTGGTGTAGATAAAACGAATACCTGATGTGCCATTTTGGATTTTGCAATCAGAGAAGAAGCGCATCACCTCATCGGCTGAGCAGGACCAGGGCAGGCCCCTGACCTTCACCACGAACCCCTCCCTGCCTTCCGTGCTCAGCATCATGGTGACTGTTGGGATCTCGGTGGCAAGCTAGGCTCAACGCAATTTCGGTGTGGCTGAAAAAAAAATTAGAAGACTGTTGTCATGGAAAAACGTTCACAATAAAGTAAAAAAAGTAAACTGTTAATACAAAACTTAATTACAGATAGCTTTTTTAAAAACATTTGTATAAGCAAAAAGACATCACCAAAATTTTAACTCATTCATTCATTCCACAATCATTTATAGAATGCCTATTATGTGTCAGGTACCATTAAAGGTGGCTAATTCTGGGCAGTAGGCTTATGTTTTTTGTTTTAAGAAATTTTTTTCCTTTGGACATTTCTGTAAATTCAAAGTTTTCTGCACTGAACATGTATTAACATCATAGGGAAAAAAGGTTTAAAAAATTAACAGCAACAAAATCAGTGGAAGATGATCTTCAACAAATACAAATAACATATAAATAACATTATAAAAAAACTCATGTAAATCAATAAACTCAGAGAAATATTAAGACCTAAGAGATAATTGCAAAAAAGACATTAAGGGGAATTCAGCCACTCACTTTACAAACATTTTCTAGTTGCCAGTTTGAGCACTCATCTCTGGTATACAAGTACCAATAAGCCCAGGGGCTTACGGTCCTATAGGAGGACTGTGTGTCTTCATCTAAGACATAAGTACAGAAACACATTATGCCTGCCATGACAGAACTCTGTGCAGGGTATAAGGGACAAGGAGGGACTGGTTGGTCAATTGTATTGGTTGGAGACAGGGTGGTTAAATTTAACAGACTAACCAGTTCCAGGATATATAAACAAATAAAAATACATACATGATGAAGTACAGAATAGAAGGGGCCAAGGCAAGAGACAACGCTGGCAAGGTAGAAATCAGATATGGAAGGTCTTACATGATATAGGCCTTTTAAGGGATTTCAACAGGAGTGATGTCATCAGAACCCTTTCAGACAGATCACCCTGGCAACACTGTGGCATTCAAACAGGAGGGGGTTGGGGTGGAACTAGCCAGATCAGGTAGAATCTGGAGATGTGTTATGGGTTTCACCTAAGGCAACACAGTAAAGGGAGAGGAAAGATATGATCTAAGCATATCAAAGAAGTGGAATCTGCCGGACTTGATGACAGATTAGATATTTATTGGGGGAAGGGGGATGTTAAAGGAGAGGAGTCTGGGAAATATAAATGGCTAATAAGCATTGGAAGAAATGTTCAAACCTCACTAATCATCAGAAATAAAAGTAAAACCAGAATTAATCACCATTTTCACCCATCAAGATAGTAGAAAACTAAACAGTGAGAATATGTCAGTGCGATTGTGGTTCACAAACTAATAAACTACTAGAGGAGTGAAAACTGATACAATATTTCTGGAAAGGAATTCAGTAATATGTATCACATCTTTTCACACAATAAATCCACTTCAGGTTATGTGCCCTAAGGAGATGATCTGAAACATAGATAAAAATTTATGGAGCTATATAGTTTTTGAAATGTATTTAAAGATGGAATAATATACACTCAAAAAAAGCTATGAAAATATTCAACATGATAAATTACTTATGCTATAACCTTAAGTGGCCCAAGATCACAGCTACTTTATAATCTCAACTATGTAAAAAATATATATTCACATACTGTTTGACCCTGTGATTCTTCTTCTTCTAGGAATCTAGTCATCAAGTACAAATGTTCACTGCAGCAGTTAGTAATGGCAGAAAACTAGTAACAAATAAATATTCTTCAATAGGGGGATGGTTGAATGAATGCTGTATTCTCAAAAAGGAATGCTATACAGCAGTTTTAAAAAAGAGATCCATCTATCCTGAACTAGAAAGATTTCCAAAATATATTAAATGAAAAGAATACACACAGTATGATCTTACTTACATTAAAACATTAAGTATGCATGTATACATATATGTAAATGCATAGAGAAGATCTGGAAGCAAAAAATACAAGCTTGTTTTTAAGAAAAGAACTGGAAGTTAGGGGGATTGAAGAGAGATTGTCATCTTTTACCCTATATACTTTTATATTGTTTTAATTCTTTAAAATCACTGTAATTGGAATAAAAAAAAGTTAAAAATATATACGCATAGGGAATTCGTCAAATGTTAATAGGGGTTACTCTAAATTGTAGTCTTATGAATTTTTCTATTTTTTCATTTTTTGTACATTCTTAATTTTCTAGAAAGAGAATTAGAACTTTCAGCAAAAATATAAAATAAATAAAATGTTTGCGTTGCTGGCATTTGGTATAGCAGATTTTATAAAATTTTCTAGCTTTGTATGTGGATGGTCTGACATGGTCTGGGAAAACTGGGCCTCTTGGAAGGAAAGTACAAAGTGTAGTAACTGCCATAAAACTTTATTGAGGATTAAATTCAATAAACATGTACTAATTGCCTATTACGTGCCTGGCACACTGCATCTGCAGTGATAAGTCTTCCTATAAACCATCCTTAGGTCTGAGCGGAAGATTTAAGGACCGGTTTTTTGCCTGCCTTATCCCGGGGATGACCCGTCCCATTTAATGTCCCTGAAGCACTCTATGCCTTAACAGCCCCTCTGTAGTGATAGGGAGGTTCTGCTTCATTACTGCATCTCCTGAGAAAACCACCAAGATTCCATTTGAGAGTTAAGAATTTGTGCATTTATATGTGAGTTATACACACACTTTTAAAAAATTGTAATGACACGTGGAGTAAGTGTATTTTCTTCTTGGGAAGAAAATACACCATAATGTTGAGTAGTTATCTCTAGGTGGTGAATTACGTGTATTTTTTTTTTAAATTATAGTATACTATTCTTTTTCAAATGTTAGCGAATGAACATACAGATTATTGTTATAAACGGAAAAACAAACGTTATTTAAATATACAATTCTGTAAAAACATTTATTGGGCGCCTCTGTCAGGCACGCAGTATTTGCCTAGATTTGACTCTACAGATATAATTCACTTGGTGCCTCCTCCTACAAACAATCAGACAGTGAAGGTTGAGTGTTTGAATTGGGTGGACCAGCACTCAGACCACTGGTCTCAATATCTGTTTTTCCTAATTCAAGGCCGTAGTTTTCAAACATTTTTCGCCTTACGGTTTCTCTTTGGGGTCCCCTGATACCCGCCCCGATACACAGATATACAAAAACACAGTCACGAACGTCCACCATTTCCCCACCAGGCGCAGCAAAGGCGGCTTTCCGGCACTGAGATGGGGGGTGAAGGGGGGAGGGGCAGGCAGGGAATTAAAAAGGCGGAAGCGGCCTCCGGACCCCGCTTTGGTTTCCATCATCACCACCCCCGGGTCCCCAGTTCCCACCCACACACCAACCTCTAATGATATCGAGTAATTTTCCTCCTTCTTCCCTCAAACGGCTATAGCGAGACGGTAGACGACGACCAGAACTACTTCTGCTCACGTAAGCGACTGATCACGTGACCTCCTACGTCATGTGAGATCTCGGTCACGTGAGCAACGTACAGCTTCAACTGGAGATCACTAAGGTGCCGCACTTCCTTCTGGTACGGAAATAGGGCGGGCAGATTAAAAAAAAAAAAAAGAGTGCGATTGGTTGCGATGATTTTACGTGAATATCATTGGTCCGCCTCTGGGGATAACCGTCCCAGTTGCCTGAGAAACAATAACGTCATTATTTAATAGCTCATCGGTGATTGGTCCGCCTCTAAGGTTAAACTTAAAAGTCCTGGTTATTCATGGCAATCAGTACTGGGTGATCATGGTGACAGGGAAGTTCATAAACCGAGGTCAGCGGCTAGGCTGTGTGCTTGCGCTTAGTGTTCTAGCCCTAGTTCTCTGGGGCGTCCCTGGGGCCAAGGCTCTGGACAATGGCTTGGCGATGACACCTACCATGGGCTGGCTGCACTGGGAGCGCTTCATGTGCAACGTTGACTGCAAGCAAGAGCCGAATTCCTGCGTCAGGTATCAGAGATATTGGGCACACCCTTCCCTTCACCTTTCCGTGTGTTTGTCTGGGTGTGTTTTCAGGGATGGAGGGTCTCAGCGGAGACATTTGAGCCAGAGGAAGAGCTCCCCTACGGCTGCTGTTTTTTTATCCCCAGCAAACTGGCCGGGGTGGGGACTAGCCCTAAACTTTCTCCGTGTGACCCCTTCTGGGGTGGGAGTCAGGCCAGCGGCCCCTACTTTTCCTTTTTCTCTTCCTGCCCAGTCACCCAGCTAGAGATGTCTTCCCTTACCGTATAACTCCATTCAGACCCTTGTGAGCTTTGCTCTGCCTGTGCCTGGTGCTACCAGTGAGCATAGTTCGGGTGCGCAGGAACGACGAGGGACCAAGACCCGTGCCATTTCTTCCTCTTTCTGGGTCGCAGTTTCCTTAGCTGTAACTCCAGAGTGTTAGACCGCATGGTCTCTGAGATCCCTCCTGACCTTCTCTCCTCCTCCCCTACCTCCTCGCCCTTGGGTGTGGCGTCCAGCTGAAAGGTTGACCTGGAGGAACTTTACCTATCAAAAAGGAGGGTTGAGGCTGGATAAGACAGGTACTGAACCAGTCTGATCCTCACATTCCTTTTTGGTAAATTGGAATAACAACTCTTACCATGGAGTTGACATACAGTAACCAGTAGCCTGGGCTGATTGGAATTTCACATCAGAGAGGCTCAGCAATTAGCGACATGTTTAATCTTTTAGGTGAACTTCTTGAATCATTTAGTCAAATTCCTTAAGAAATCCTTTTGGGATTTGTTCAGGGTTTTATTAAATGTCTAAAGATTTTTAGGGATAATTAGCTTCTTTATACTGTTGAGTTTTCTTATCTGGGAACAAAATAATGTCTCTCCATTTGTTCAGATCATTTAGGAGCATCAGTTTTATTCATATGGGTCTTGCACGTGTTCTTGTTGTTAGGTGCCATTCAGTCAGTTCTGACTCATAGCAACCCTGTGTACAACAGAACAAAACACTGCCCGGTCCTGCCCCATCCTCACAATCATTGCTGTGTTTGAGCCCATTGTTGCAGCCAGTGTGTCAGTCCATCTCCTTGAGGGTCTGCCCCTTTTTCGACATCTATCAAGCATGATGTCCTTCTCCAGGGACTGATCCCACCTGTAATAAGCCCAAAGTACATTAGACAGTCTTTCCATCCTCGCTTCTAAGGTGCATTCTGGCTGTACTTATTCCAAAAGAGCTTTGTTCATTTTTCTGGCAGACCATAGTATATTCAGTATTCTTTGCCAACACCATAATGCAAAGGCATCAATTCTTCTTCAGTCTTCCTTATTCATTGTCCAGCCTTCCCATGCATATGAGGTGATTGAAAATACCATGGCTTGGGTCAGGCACACCTTAGTCCTCAAAGAGACATCTTTGCTTTTTAACAATTTAGAGCTCTTTTGCAGCAGATTTGCCCAATGCAATACGTCATTTGATTTCTTGACTGCTGCTTCCATGGGTATCGATTGTGAATCCAAGTAAAATGAAATCCTCGACAACTTCAGTATTTTCTCTGTTTATCATGATGTTCCTTATTGGTCCAGTTGTGAGAACTTTTGTTTTCTTTCTGTTGAGGTGTAATCCGTACTGAAGGCTGTGGTCTTTGATCTTCATCAGTAAGTGCTTCAAGTTCTCTTCACTTTCAGCAAGCAAGGTTGTGTCATCTGCATATTGCACGTTGTTAATGAGTCTTCCTCCAATCCTGATGTCCCATTCTTCTTCATATAGTCCAGCTTCTTGGATTATCTGTTCAGCATACCAATTGAATAAGTATGGTGAAAGGATACAACCCTGACGAACACCTTTTCTGATTTTAGACCACGCAGTATCCCCTTTTTCTGTTTAAATGACTGCCTCTTGGTCTATGTCTTAGTTATCTAGTGCTGCTATAGCAGAAATACCACAAGTGGTTGGCTTTAACACAGAAATTTATTCTCTTACAGTCTAGGAGACTAGAAGTCCAAGTTCAGGGTGCCAGCTCCAGGGGAAGGCTTTCTCTCTCTGTTGGTTCTGAGGAAACGTCCTTGTCATCAATCTTCCGTTGGTCTAGGAGCTTCTCAGCACAGGAACCTGGGTCCAAAGGACACGCTCTGCTTCCAGCGCTGCTTTCTTGGTGGTGTGAGGTCCCCCTGTCTCTCTGCTCACTTCTCTTTTATATCTCAAAAGAGATTGACTTAAAACACAACCTAATCCTGTAGCTTGAGTCCTGTCTCATTAACATAACTGCCTCTAATCCTTCCTGTCTCATTAACATCAGAGAGGCAGGATTTAGAACACGTAGGAAAATAACATCAGATGACAGAATGGTGGACAGTCACACAATACAGGGAATCATGGCCTAGCCAAGTTGACACACATTTTGGGGAGACATAATTCAGTCCATAACAGTCTATGTACAGTTTCTGCATGAGCACAATTAAGTTCTCTGGAATTCCCATTCTTTGCAATATTATCCATAATTTGTTATGATCCACACAGTGGAATGCCTTCGTGTAGTCAATAAAACACAGCTAAACATCATACCATTGGTTCTTGATCGTATGCTACCTCCTAAAATGGTTGAACGTTGACCAATTCTTTTTGGTACAGTGACTCTGTGTATTCCCTCCATCTTCTTTTGATGTTTCCTGCGTTGTTCAATATTTTGTCCGTTGTTGTTGTTAGGTGCCGTCGAGTCGCCGACTCATAGCAACCCTGTAGGACAGAGTAGAACTGCCCCATAGGGTCTCCAAGGAGTGCCTGGTGGATTTGAACTGCCGACATTCTGGTTAGCGGCCGAGCTCTTAACCACTATGCCACCAGGGTTCTATATTTTGCCCATAGAATCCTTTAAAATTGCAACTCGAGGTTTGAATTTTTTCTTCAGTTCTTTCAGCTTGAGAAATGCTAAGTGTGTTCTTCCCTTTTGGTTTTCTAACTCCAAGTCTTTGCACATTTCATTATAATACTTTGTCTTCTCAAGCCGCCCTTGGACATCTGTTCAGCTCTTTTCTTTCCTGTCTTTTTAATGACCTTTTGCTTTCTTCATGTATGATGTCCTGGATGTCATCCCACAGTTTGTCTGGTCTTTGGTCATTAGTGTTTAATGTATCAAATCTGTTCTTGAGATGGTCTCTAAATTCAGGTGGAATATACTCAAGGTTGTACTTTGGCTCTCATGGCCTTGTTTTAATTTTCTTCAACTTCAGCTTCCTTCACGTATCTTAGGTTCATTTCTAGGTATTTTAGGTTTTTCTGTGACTCTGGTGAATGAAATCTTTTGCTCCAAAAAGGTTATTGTTGATATCTATGGAAGCTTTGATTATGTTAACTTTGTAAATTGTTCATCTTACTGAACTTTCTTCTTAGTTCTAATAGCTTTTAAATTTCGTCATATATTTCTCATTGCTATGCTAATTGTACATGTTAATGTTGCTTGAGTTCTTTTTTCACTTAGGTATTAAGGAGATAGGGGAGGGGAGAAGAAAAAGAACCCAATGAAAAATCTTTTTTCCTTGTATTGGTTGTGATAACTACCACACTGTTACTGGGTTAAAAAAATTTGTAAAACCCCAGGGTGCCTCACAAGTAGGAAGCACCCAAGAGTTTGTTGAATAAATTGTAGTGATTCTTAGACTTTGTCTTTCAGTGAGCAGCTCTTCATGCAGATGGCCGATCTCATGGTATCAGATGGCTGGAAGGATGCAGGTTACCAGTACCTCTGCATTGATGACTGTTGGATGGCTCCCACACGAGATTCAAAAGGCAAACTTCAGGCAGATCCTGAGCGCTTCCCTGGTGGGATTCACCGCCTAGCTAATTATGTGAGTTTATAGATAAGTCTCTTTTTCACTCAGGGACCTATAAGCACTTCTCTTTAGAAGCTTTTCCAGAAACAGCCCTCCTGACACTTAGAAAGTAGAATAGCTGCTCTTATCTGAACATTGAATTGTAAGGCTTATTGGGTGGAATTTTCATTCCATCAGCAGATAATTGTTTTGCAATAGCTCTTGAGGCCCGTCTTGGAGAAGTTCTCCTTTTGCCAAAACCACTGAATTATCTAAGAAGTAAAAAGGAACTTGGTTCTTGATGTATGTGTGCATATATTTCCATATAAGCTTTAAGAAGCTATTGGACTTATACTATAACTAGAATTTTAGAAGATAGAAGGAAAATATTCTGGAGCTAAATCTATAATTGCCCTGTAAAGATAACACTTAGGATCTGCACAGTGGGCAAATCCTATCTTCATTGCTAACTGCCTGGTAAGGATCAGCAAGAATCCAGTTCCCAAAGTGGGGAAATAGAGCCAGTCCTTACCTTCCCATTTCTCTATCCTTATTGCCAGCCACTCACATGGCACACTGTCTCCAACCCTAGCCACCCAGAGGTGGGTCAGAGCTCACTAGTTAGATGAACACTGTCTTTCAGACCACCAAATAGGCAGACACCAGCCCATGCTGGCTCTTGCTACCCCTGTGGGTTTGTTAATTCACTGGAATGACTCACAGAATTCACAGAGTACACCATACTTAAGGCTACCACTTTATTACAACCAAAAAGATACAAAGAGTGAGGTCTGGGAGGGGTCATAGTGCAAAAGAGGGACGTACTACCCTCTCCCGTGCATGGTCACCAACCAGGAAGCCTCTCAGCCTCAGGGTTCAGGCCCCTTATTGGCTTCCCCACATGGCCATGATAGATTACATCTTGCCCATAAGTCTTAGCATCAGGACCCTAGGTGGTCCCTCTTGGTCTGATCAGCCCCCACTCATTGGCCTCACGTGTTGGTATGGATGGACAGAACCAAGGCTAAATTGCTTTTTGCGAGGTGATTCCACACCTCAAAGGATCCCATCAGAGGAAGATTTGAGTGGCTGATAGCTTTCTTCTCAGTTTTGTGCTGTAGCTCACACGTATAGTTTAAACTCGCTCAGCAGAATTAGGGGATTTAGTTTTTGTCTCCCAATAAACTCATCTGTATAATTTTGGGGGTTTGTGAAAAAGAAAATAACCTGATCCCTGATGAAGTGCACTTGTTTCTGTCCCTGTGTGGTGTGGTTCTCTCTTTTTGCCACTTAATGATTGACCTTCTTTTGTGGTAAATCTGTTTCCTCTAATTTCAGGTTCATAGCAAAGGACTGAAGCTCGGGATCTATGCAGATGTAGGACAGAAAACCTGTGCAGGCTACCCCGGGAGTTTTGGATACTATGACATTGATGCTAAGACCTTTGCTGACTGGGAAGTAGATCTGCTAAAATTTGATGGTTGTTTCTGTGACAGTGTGGACCATTTGGCAGATGGTATGGTTCATTCAAGAGATTTAGCCATGAGTAAAGGGAAGAATTTTGCCAAAGTAGCTGAGCATCCAAGGAACTAATCTTCAGATTTTAAACACCCAGTCACAATACTGGAAATAATTACTCTCAATGTAATAGTGCTTTCCACCTCTTCTCTTCTTTCATTTTGTCTATTCATTCATTCATTCATTCATGTAAAATCCACGAATTTTACATTCATTCATGTAAAATTCAATCGTGTAAAATGCCTAACCTTGGCTAATATTGTGCACTTTTAATTCAAGAGGACTCTAAAAGTCAGTTAAAGAGTTTGGGTGGCACAAACAGTTAAGCATTTGGCTACTAACTGAAAGGTTGGTGGTTTATATCTACTCAAAGGCATCTTGGAAGAAAGGCCCGGCAATCTATTTCTGAAAGGTCACAGTCATTGAAAACTCTACAGAACACAGTTCCACACTGATACACGTGGGGTCATCCATCATGAGTCAAATCAACTTGACAGTAACTGATTTTTTTTAAGTCTATTAGAATTATTAGTTGTAAATCTCTGTAACATCACTTGTATATTGGTGCCCTGGTCAAAAAAAAAAAAAAAAGAGGGGAAAGAGTCCAGGATGTCAACCAATCACACAGAAGAAAAACATCTTCATTCCTTACCTTCTGTTCTCAATATACACACCATTTCTGCACCACCTCCTTAGAACAATCCCAGCAGTCTGGAAGATACTATACACCATTTAAGCATAGAGCATCCACCCATCTCCGCTGCTGATTTAAAATATAAACATCGACCTTCCAGGAAGTCTCTTTTTAAAATATACAGCCCCAGCTGGTAATTCCTTTCTGTTATTTTACCCATTGTTTTCTCATACAGGTTATAAGAACATGTCCTTGGCCCTAAACAGGACTGGCAGAAGCATTGTGTACTCCTGTGAGTGGCCCCTTTATATGTGGCCCTTTTATAAGGTGAGCTAGTGAGCCCAAAATCCAATAGAGCCTTACTGAGAGATTTTCAGAACTCGAGAATCTATCACAAAGGTCTTAAAAATTATTACTAGTCCAACTTTAGGATCCCTGGTGGTGCAGTGGTTAAGTGCTCAGATGCTAACCGAAAGGTCAGAGGTTCAAACCTACCAGCCGCTCCACGGGAGAAAGATGTGGCCGTCTGCTTCCATAAAGATTTACAGCCTTGGAAGCCCTATAGGGCAGTTCTCCTCTGTCCTATAGGGTCACTATGAGTCGGAATTGACTCGACAGCAGTGGGTTTGGTAATCCAACTTTACTTACGACTACCATCTCCCCCAGAATCGAATTACTTCTCACCATCCCCACTGCTGTAATTGTAGTCTAAACCACCACCATCTGGGAAATTGTCTTTGATTTTTCCCTTTATGTCACCATTCACATTCTATCCACCAGCTATCCTGTCAGTACTACTTCCAAAATATATCCTGAATCAGTCCACTTCTTTCCATCTCTACTACTACCGTGCTGGTCATCCCAAGAAATTATCATCTCTCACCCAGACTACTATAACAGTCTGATCTAGTGTCTACGTGCACTCCCACCCCCAAATCCATATTTCACACAGTGCCAAACTGATCTTGTTAAAATATAAATGGAATCATATCACTCCCCTGCTTAAAACACAACTAGCTTCCCATTGCATTTGGAATAAAATCAAACTCCATACCACAGCTTGCCTGGCCCAATTTGATCTGACCCTTACCTGCCTCATTTTCCAGCACTCTTTCCCTTGCTACACATGTTTTCTTTTCTCCACTTGGGCCCTCAAACACCCCAAGCCTATTTCTGCCACAGGGTCTTTATTTTTATTTTTTCCCATACAAAAATTTATACATACATTGTTATATGACACCCTAATTGCTCTCCCCATACTGTGACAGCACACCCCTCCTTTCCACCCCTGATTCCCCATGTCCATTCAAACAGCTCCTAACATTCTCTGCCTTCCCATCTCACCTCCGGACAGAAGCTGCCCGTTTAGTCTCTTGTATCTACTTGAGCTAAGAGGCACACTC